TCTGCCTTTAATGTCATAGTTCACGTATCGATCAGGGCTGGATGCCCAAGTAAAGTAGAGGTTGATGGAAGCACCTCAAGGGTTTTTGGGAGTTGTGTCCCTCAAGGGGTTCGCGCTTAGGAAGCTCACGCGTTCCTCTTCAGGTTACGTGGGTATCCATCCTGCGGTCACCGATTCGCAACAAAGGGACTGCCAGCAAAGCTACTCATCCTCTTCCGAATATTTTAGAGTCACACTATGATCTGAAACTTCGCGGAGCAAGAAAGTCTCGTTACCTGGGCGTTCATGTTCGCTCCGTCGAGATAAACTTGACCACCGTGTTCATGCACTTTATCGCACACGTCCCGAATCGACGACTCGAATACACCGTGTGTGGACGGGTAGGTGACCATAATGGCGGCTAACTCGTCTTTGTATCGCGCCGCCTGAACATCAACACTAGTAAACCAATGCAGTACAATATTATTCCAATGCACAGCTACTCGGACTACGAATATGGAATAGCTCAATCCATTCATGTGCAAGTTTATTAAGGTGAAACTGCACTGCTCCATTCCTGCTCACCTTTTCGGAAAGGTCCTTGAAGTTGATATTTCCGTGTTTGTCCGATTCCACCACAACAACCCTCATGTTCGCCATGTGAGCTGAAGCAGGGTTGGTGCCGTGCGCCGAGGTAGGAATCAAGCACACCTGCAGTTTTGGGTAGTTAGTTATTTTGTAAAATGCTCAGCACTGATTTCAGGAAGATACATCACACAGTCAACTTTTGTGAACGCTTGGATCCTTACAATAAAAGAAAACTACTAGATTTTATCGAATCAACGCACATTTCGCTGCTCTTGCCCGTTGTGGATGTGGTACTTTCGGATGGTAAGCAGACCAGCGTATTCACCATTAGCACCAGAATTTGGTTGCAGACTGGAAGTATTGCAAAGTTCTAGTTGATGTCGTGAGAACCCGGGTTACAAGAAATCATCGATAAGGGATCACCTGAAATTGTCGTATCCCGTGATCTCACACAGCCATCGTTCCACATCGCTGAATATTCTCTGGAATCCAGCCGCTTGCGAAACTGGTGCGAACGGATGGAGACCGTTAAACGTCTCCCAGGTGATCGGCTAAAAAAAACGATAGAATCTTTGTGAAATAGCAAGATTGTTTTTCTATATATGTAGGTCCTGTTTTTTCGTTTTCGAGTTATGATGACCATGTGTTTTCCGTGCTGTACTGTTATATTCTGGTAGCATAACGATGGGGGTACTAGTTCATCGATTTTTCCGCCCCACGGCGCCGTTGGAAAAGTCTTACAGCAAAACGTGCCGCCTCGAATGTCCCTTTCAGTGTTGTCTTTACTGCAGCCGATCACTTCAAATATGGATGTCATATACAGGGTGGGGCAAAATTACTGGTGCACCTATACGTTTTGAATTTTTTAACACTTCTTGGAGATTTTCCTGTTTCACTCGTCCGAAGTACTGTGTGAAATGAAATGTGTGGAATGAGCAAAGTATGTCCAAACCCATTCAAATGTGGAGACAAACTGGCCTTTTTCTCATTGGCTCTCCCCAGTAAATTAGGAGACTATGAAAGCGGAAACTAGTACTGCTGGACTCGATTGTTTCCTTCTTTTCAATCGGTTTTTTTCAACTTGATCTTGGTTTTTGTTTAGTGCCACTCAGGTTCCGTCTGCCTCCAAGCATAGGTTATTTAATTAATTTCACAAGACTGCTGGGTTGTGAACAAAACTTTCGCCTCAGATGGAACTCAAACCAGCACCTTTTGCCTTTTTGAATTCATCAATTGATTTATGAGTAACCAATTCCGTTAGACTACAGTCTTAACGCTCTGATAACTTCTCATGGTATATGTTCGCCATATAATAAGGGCTCACCCCATTATTATTCTGTATTTTAATCCCTACAACTTCGATTTTCTTTTCTGCGTCTTCCGAAAATAGAGTGTATTTACAATGGACATATAGCATATTGTATGCACTCGATCATAAATATAGAACTTCCAGCACTATTTGATAAATATCGTAGAGGAACCTCTTCAGTTGGTGATTACGCTATAAAGGCGGCTTGGGCGCACCTGCTAGGAGTTTGCACGGGAAGCGAATGCTATGTTCGCGCTCAGGAGTCCCAGAAAGCAGTTTTGAGCCATATCTACCCTCTAGAAAGAATCAAAGCCTTGTCGAACTCTAGTTTCGAAACGTGATCAGTCTCGAGGAGAACAGCTTCGAAGGAACTGCCTAAACTGGAATGGTCCACGGAAAAATCGTGTACTACCTCATCCACGAACCACCGGCTTCAACCCATCGTCAGCGATAAGAACGAAAAGAACAAAAAATGCATGCGTTTGATAAAGAATTTGAGAAAATGGAAGGACTCATATGTACAACTCGCCGGATATCTGTAACAAATGCTGGTGATGGGAACACTTCCAATTGGTTTTCTGAATACAGTCATTAGGAACACCTTTTTGACCTCTTGACTTATTGCACTAACATCTCACCTTCTACTGCATCCTATCGATTATTTTGTCTCTATTTTCCAAATTCATACGCTTAATTCGATCCCTTCAATGCCTCGCCTGCCAATGGCCGCCCCAGAGCGCACTTCTTTCCATGTCTCCGCCCAGCCTACCCGCGACCGTCCCAAGAGTGTGGTTTTCGTAGGTTTGTTTCTTTGGAACCAAAATTTTTTGGTGAAACTTTGTGTATTGTCTCTAGTGATCACATAGGACGTATTCATGTTGGGGGAGAATACAAAAATCCCCCGTGGGCCATTCCTTTAAGTCTTTTGAGGAATCAAAAAAAATTATTAGATTGTTCCGTGAAGATTGCCACCCTTGCTATCCCTTCACGAGATTTGAAATTAGTTTAGAAAAAGTTAGAAAGTAACTAAAAAACTCCTTTTGGAGATATTATGTAAAGTTGAAGAGGACTGAAAGTTCAATGAAGATTTAGGCAACTGACAATAAGTTGTGAGCTGGCGTTAAGTTTCATTGTACACGATCCCAGCGGAATCATGGAGTGAGCCAGAGAGACGTCCTTATTCTCCAGTCGTTTGATATACCTAAAAATTTCATGTTACGGTCTCAATTGTGTTATTAACTTTTATTATTGTGCTGTATAGGGCCGGCAAAAATTACAGTGACAAGATAAGAGAAAATCACTGCAGCTAGAAACAAATGTGTGAACGCCAATAAAATATTTATGGGAAAGCTGTCGAACAGAATGCAACACTACTTTTTGGAGAAGCAGCAGTGTGCTATAATTTTGGGTTGTCCCATAATTCCTGTCCGAATTTCGACACTTTCTTCTCATCGAGTTTTATCTTCTCAAAACCAATTGATCAAAAATATAACCATTATCATAATCACTGATATGCATCCATTTGCTAGGGAACCTTTGGATGCTTTCCTCCTAGAATGAGTGAAGCTAGGACTCGAAGAATTGGTCAGGTCGTTTTTGAGGTGGTTGTATTCATTGACTTTTTTCTCTCGCCTCTGCTGCTTCGCGGCAAAGCAAAGGGGATAGTCCGATGGAGTAATGCCAGCGCTACATGATAGATACAATACCGCCCCTAATTTTTAGATCATTAGATTCGCCATGATCAGTGCTATCCGATGGTCTAATTTTTATATCATTTGGACCATTCCTTCAAAGTTACAGCAAAACGACGGTTTGCTACGGAAAGTTGTATCACATTTCGGCGATTGAACAAAAATTAGGGGCGGTATTGTATGATACTTTGGTCCAGCCGATTCCCTCAAAAAGTGGCGAGTTATCTTTGGAAAAGTCGGGCATTCATCTGGAGAGAATGAATTTCGAGACATTCAGGACGGTTCTCTCGCACTGCTGCGGCCAACCTGGTAGCTGTTCCACGATGGCATTCGCAATACTTGTCTGCATACAGCAAGCGGTTATGAAAACGGAACACCCACTCAATCTAGCAAATCAAAAACAATAGCCTCTGACTCAGAGTTTGGCTCTGATTGAGCTGGTGAGCCTTGGCTGCGAGGTAACCATCAGGCATGCCACGTGTTGTTGTCACAGTGGACCTGACTCATCTCCATTGGTGAT